TCTAATTTTTAATTTGGGGGGGGGCTTAGTTTTCTCTGTAAAATGAGGATACTGACAGAAGACACCTTGTGGGATTAAATGAGCACATCTGTGTAGTGCTTAGTATAGGCTCCGTGTGCTCTAGATGTCAGGTTGCAGGAGTAGCAGTGAYCATAGTCATCCTCAGTGTCTGGTACTACCCTCATCATACCCCATGCAGGATGGGATCATGGTCTTTAGCCCTGTTGCACAGGTGAAGTAACAGACTTGGAGATGAAGTGACTTGTCTGGAGCCACAGAGCTAATTAGATTTGAGAGTCAGATTTCCACAGTCAAGCTTCAAACCCATATCTTTACAACTTCTAAAAACAAATTATCTAGACTGTTTCTTCTGCAACTATCTCAAAACTTGAGATTTCAGGATTAAGCCTGTGAATCTTTCAGGATTAAGAAATGTAAAGTAGATAAAGTTGGTCTTTTTCTTTTGAAGTTTTTACATTTGTTCTAATTAGTTATACATGACAGTAGAATGCATTTTGACACATTGTACACAAATGGAGCACAACTTCTCATTCCTCTGGCTGTACGTGGTGCAGAGTCACACTGATAGTGTAATTATACATGTATGTAGGGTAATAATGTCTGTCTCATTCYACTGTCCTTCTCATCCTCACAGGCTTTCCCCTTCCCTCACTCTCCTCTGCATAATGCAAAATTCCTTCATTCCTCCCTCTCCCGCCCCATCCACTATGGAGCAGCRTCCACTTATCAGAGCAAATATTCAGCTTTTGTTTTTTGGGGATTGGCTTATTTCACTTAGCATTATATTCTCTTGTTCCATCCGTTTACCAGCAAATATCATAATTTCATTCTTCTTTAAGGCTGAGTAATATTTCATTATGTATCTGTACGACATTTTCTTTATCYATTCATCTGTTGAAGGGCATCTACGTTGGTTCCATAGTTTAGGTATTGTGAATTGAGGTGCTATAAACATTGATTTGGCTATGTCACTGTAGTGTGCTGATTTAAAGTCCTAGTTGGGTAAAATGGTGATTCCATTCCAAGTTTTCTGAGGAATCTCTGTACTGTTTTCCATAGCGGTTGCACCAATTTACTGCCCTACCAGCAATGTATAAGTGTACCTTTTTCCCACATCCTGGTCAACATTTATTATCACTTGTATTTTTGATAATTGCBATTCTGACAAGAGTAGTTTGAGCAATAGTAACAAAAAAGGCATGGTATTGGCATCAAATTAGACATGTAGACCAATGGTACAAAATAGAAGACACAGAGACAAACCCACCTAAATACAGTTATCTCATACTAGATAAAGGCACCAAAAACATACATTGGTGAAAAGATAGCCTATCAACAAATGGAGCTGGTGAAACTGGAAATCTATGTGGAGTAAAATGAAATTAAACCTCTGTCTCTCACCCTACACAAAAATCAACTCAAAATGGATCAAAGGTGTAGGCACTAGAATGGAGACCTTGTGCCTAATAGAAGAAAAGGAGGCCCAAATTTCCATCCTGTTGGCTAGGAACTGATTTCCTTAATAAGACTCCTAAAGCTCAAGAAGTAAAATTAAGAATTAATAAATAGGATAGATTCAAACTAAAGAGTTTCTTATCAGCAAAAGAAACAATGAAGATAGAGCCTACAGAATGGGAGAAAATATTTACCACAAAAACSTCAGATAGAGGACTAATCTCCAGGATATATAAAGAACTCAAAAAACTTAACACCAAAAAAAAAGCAAATATCCCAATCAATAAATGGGCTAAGGAACTGAAGAAGAAGAAAGAAATACAGAAGAAGAAATACAACCTATCAACAAATATAAGAAAAATGTTCAACATCTCTAGCAATTAGACTACTCTAAGATTTCATCTCACTCCAGTCAGAAGTTGATCTCTTACAGCTTCTGTTACCCCAGAGGTTCATTCCCTGCCAGCAGGCCTGCTCTGTTTCCCAGCTTTCAATCCTTTCCTGTGCATCTGCCCCTCCTCTGCTTACTCTATTTTGGTAGCTTTTTTTCTATCTCATCTTTGTCTTTCGTCTTTGTTTATATGTTTTAAAAATTTTGTCAAAAAGTGCATGGGTTCAGTTTGAAATCAGTGAGTTGAGGGTGGAGGCTGGGCATCCTTCTGTGCAGGCTGCTGAGCACATCCCCCCTCGAAGGCTTGGGATTTTGTCTGGAGCATGCAGCAGTGCAGGTGCCAGTGCTAGTTTGGYTTCCACACTCATCCTTAAAAATATCTCCACTAGCATTCACTACATCATTGGAACATATATACTCCCATGACCTATTTCTTCTCCCATGAGGTAGCTGCTGTTTCTATTAGTTGCCTGCTATATGATCAAATAACCTTGCCTTTCAAAGGTCTCTAACCCCTGAGGTTCTTTCAAATTTCTTTTTAAAACTCAGACACTCCTCCTAATGTTATTTAACTTAGAGACTTTTCCTGATGTTAGCAAGTGCTTGATATTCTATCACAGATGGCTTTATTTTATGAAACATTTTATTTTGCAAATTAACTCCTGAGAACATCATCAGACTATATGTGAAGAACATAAAGTTCTATGGAAGGAAGGTGTTATGTATGCTTCTAAAACTAGTTGTAATCTTAAAGGTATGTTATTGTAATCTTAAAAGTATGTTATTGTGTTGTTGTTTTTTTTTTTGGCGTGGGGGAGAATTGGGATACTTTTGCTTCAAAATAAAAGTTTCAGATCCTGCCATAGACTTAATGTTTTTATATGATTTAGAACAGCTGTTTTGTAGGGTCTCCCTGACCTTTTTAATCTCCTGATATTTCCATACTGTTCCATCATTCCAAAGAGGCAGTCATTCTTTGCAAAATAGATTTGCTGAGAATTTGTTCTGATGAATCACGGTTTTCTTTCTTTTTTTTATGTTATCAGTGTTACCGAGGTATAATTTACATTCCACAAAATTCACCCATTTAAAGTGTAAACTCAGTAATTTCTCTAAACTTATGGAGTTGTACAACCATTAAAACAATCTAATTTTAGAAGTTTTTCACCACCTTTTAAGAATTCCCATTTGAGCCTATTTGCATCAAGGCCTGTACTGCCTCCTCTCTAGCTCCAGGCAGCCAGTAATCTGCCTCCTGTCTCTGTGGATTTGCCTTTTCTAGATATTTTATATATGTACAATCATATATTGTGCAGTATTTTAGATCTGGCTTCATTAATTTAGCAAAATGTTTTTGAGAGGCTTATTCATGTTGTAACATAATTTTTTTGCACAAAATTTTTTCTTGTCTTTTGAARCACATAGTTTTTTAATTTTAAAATGACTACTGTGACATTGTTACTATTGCTACCTGACATCTAGAGTGCACCAAGCCTATACTAAGCACTAATTTGATGCTTTTTATTTCTGAATAGCATTCTATTGTATGGTTAGACTATATTTTGTTTATCCATTCATCAGTAGATGGATATTTGTATTATTTCCATTTGGGGGCATAATATGAACAAGCTGCTGTGACCTTCATATACAAGTCTCTGTGCAGACGTATATTTTCATATTTGTACTTGGGTAGATTCCTAGGAAATGGCATTTCTGAGTTATAYAGTATGTTTATGTCTAACTTAAGAAACTGAAACTATTTTCCAAAGTGAGTGTACTATGTTGCATTATCACCAGCAGTGCATGAGGCACTAGTTTTTCTACATGGTTAGCAGCTCTTGCTATGTCTTGATTGTAGCCATTCCAGTGGACATGCTGTGTGTCTTATTGGGGTTTTAATATGTATATCCCTTTAAAATTAAATTGCTTTTTAATTGAATTGTTATGTTCCTTGTATATTCTGTATATAAGTTGATATACTGTTTGTAAATATGTACTCTCAGTCCTGATTTTTAATTCTAGTTTTTGGAAACAAAGTTTTTTAATGAGATCTACTTTATTAATTTGTTTTCTTTTATGATCATGGTGTTGGTGATGTATCTAAGATCTCTAATTCAAGTAACTAAGATTTTCTTCTGTGTTTATTTGTAGAAGTTTTATAGATTAGTTCTTTTATTTAGGTCTATGAACATTTTACATTGATTTTTAGTATTCTGAGAGGTATGGGAACAAGTTTTCTCTCTCTCTTTACATATTATTTTCAAAATTTCATAGCTATTTGTTGAAAACACTATTCTTTCCTCTAGTTAATTGTCTTACTCCTTTGTTAAAAAAATTTATGTATAAATATAATGGTTTATTTCAGTACTCTCAATCCTATGCCATTTGTCTGTATGTCTTTCTTATGTTAGTATTATGCTGTCTTGATTGCTATAGTTGTATAACATTTTTTTTAAATCAGACAGTTTGAATTCACCATCTTTGTAGTTATTTTTCATTCTTCTTCTGGCTAGTCAAGTTCTTTGCCTTTCAATATAWTTTAGAATTAGTTTGTCAATATCTGAAAAAAGCCTAGTGGGATTTTAATTGGGAGTTTCTCTTAATCTATAGATTAATTTGTAGAGAATTAGCCTCTTAACAATATTGAATCTTCCAATTCATGAAAATAGTATATCTTTATATTTACTCTTATTGATTTCTTCCATCAGTATTTTGTATGTAGTTTTCAGCATATAGATGCTGAAAGGATTTACTGTGGTGTGCTGTTGTCAAGACACTTTTAAAATTTTCAATTTATTTCTCATCTTTCATCCCATTTATAGGTTCTGCTCAAACCCTATCAATGAAATTCTTCCATGTTGTATTTGACAATTGGATAACGTCTTATAGTTGTACTGGATAGTATCTTGTAAAAGTTATTTCTAAGATTTTCCAGTTGCACTTTCCAAGAGATAAAGAAGGGGGTAAATCATTTTTTACCATATTGACTTGGTGATTTGTCTTGGTAGTTTAGTAAGGCTGTCATGATGGAGTGTTCACATAATTGATAATAATGTACTAATGTAAAAGATGCAGACCTTTCTGAAGGGGTTTAAACTCAGGAAAAGTGAGTGTATAACCTCTCTGTTCCTTCTTCTGTAGGTCTTGTGGTGTCCCTGGAAGTGTCAGAGAGCCCTGGGAGTATCCAGGTGGCCCGAGGTCAGACAGCAGTCCTACCCTGCACTTTCTCTACCAGTGCTGCCCTCATTAACCTCAATGTCATTTGGATGGTCATTCCTCTCTCCAATGCTAACCAACCTGAACAGGTACTTCTGGTCCATCCTGTGATGCATCTAAAATATTAATCTTTTCAGAAGAGGTGGGTAGAGAAGCATCCTGAGTATATATTTGACCTCTAAAATTAGGTGGCATTTTCAGTGTGCCTATACTGTTTTAGGTCCTAGTGCTCGAAATATTAGTCAACTATCAGAAGAGACTAGCCTGTTTTTAAAAGACCATTGTTGTAATCATTATTGTCCTCCTCCTCCTCCTCCTCCTCATCATCATCATCATAATCACATGTTAAGTAGATCCTCTGAATGTTTTAGGCAGGAACTTGGAATTGTTTTTAGAACATTGGTGACAGGAAAGTACCAAGATATAAAAAACAAAGTCTATTTTGGCAGGAAGGGATGGGCACTAGTAAGAGRTGAATGAGAGTATACTTTTAAAAGATGGTGATAGCAGTAAGGAAGTAATGTTATATAGTACTAATTGATTCTCTTAATTTCGTAAGCATGTAAGTATAAGTAGGCATACTAGCCAGCTCAGGAAGTCTCATATAAATTAGACTGTGCCACACAAAAAAATGTAGACAAAAAGAAAAGTTACTCCACAAAAGGCTATATAACATCACAGAAAAGAAGGCTCATAATTTGTGATAACTACTGCATAAAATAATGCTCAGAAAATAATGAATTGTGATTATGGGCACACATTTATTTACAATGACAACTTCTTTTATGAATCTTTTCTGTTTCAATAAGCTTACTACTGCCTAAAATATTCGATAAGATAAGCTTTCTGTTATGAAATTCAATAAAAATTCAATAAAAACTTTTCTTTCTTCAAACCAGGGGATTTTTGTAATTAGACTAAACTTTCAAGATTATTTGTTCAACTTCCTCATTTTAAGAGTCAAGGAAARAACTTGACTACAGTTTTCCCCAAATTTACAGGTAGAGCCTAAGTAGAACCTTTCTGTGTAACATACTGATTCCACCTCCATGAGTGTTTAGATTTGATAATAGAAATTGCTACTAAAGAAGTGTTAGAGACCATCTGAGAAGCAGAGGGAGTGGCTATAGAAATGAACATAAGAATAGCAATCACAGACTTCCAAGTCTTCCCTTGTATAGTGTTTATTTTATATTCATCCTATAAYGATGACCTGTCATTTTGTGTCTTAGTAAGCATAAGATAGGCAATGCTAATATTTTTTAAACTCTGTTTTGGAATTAACTTTTTGAAGGAGGGTTGATAGTAGAGTAGCATATTTTCTGTGTTCTAATGGGCTAGATAATAAAAAAAAAAGTTATTCTGATTTGGTATGTGAGAATTTAGAACTCCAAGATAACTATGAACAGTTGTAGTAAGAAAAAGTTGGTGACAACTCTTAGAATAGAAATAAAATTCTCCAGCAGTTGGTGCAGGAACATATAGTCCTGTCTGTCAGCTATTGTTAGGTGTCTAGGAGGGAACRAAGTGGCCAGTTTGTTTATTTTTCTTTCTTTTGCAGGTCATTCTGTATCAGGGTGGACAGATGTTTGATGGTGCCCCCCGGTTCCATGGTAGGGTAGGATTTATAGGCACCATGCCAGCCACCAATGTCTCCATCTTCATTAATAACACTCAGCTCTCAGATACAGGCACCTACCAGTGTTTGGTCAACAACCTTCCAGACAGAGGGGGCAGGAATATTGGGGTCACTGGCCTCACAGTGTTAGGTGAGTGACAGAGAACTTGCAGGTACCTTGCACTTTATTTTCAAATCTCCTGTCAAGAATATTTCCTTCTGCCCTTCTTCTCCACTCTGGGTCTGCTYATGTTCCTTYTCTGCCTTTCTTCTTTAAGGTCTGTCTCTTCTGTTCCCCTCTATGTTTCTAACACACAGGCTTTCTGCCCCCTTCTTCATTTCTGGTGGTCTCTAAAGCTTCTTTAATGGCACTTTCTGGGAGATGGATAAAGGTGGTATAAGACAACATCTGAAATGGTCCCACTCTTTTTTTAAGCATCAATATAAGACAGAAGCCTCTGTTGAGAGCACATTAGATGATGGATTATTTGTTGTGAGTACAAAGCAGAAGTTTCAGTGTGTGTGAGAGCAATACTTTTACTTCCTGTGTATATAACATGTAGCAGTTCCATGATAGTTTTTAGCTTGTACCTGTTGTCCTGGTATAATTTTAATAATACTTCCATTTACATGTTCAATTTCTCAGTTTTCCTGTCTCTAAAATAAAACACTGACTTCTAAATGTGTTCTTGTGGTAGAAGTGGCTGAATTCAGTTCATTTGGGGGAGGTGGAGGAAGTACTCAGAGAAAGCCAGTTCTTTTAATTCTCCTCCCTTTCAGGTCTCAGAACCTACCTCCACAGTCCCTGTCAACCCCTGCTCCACTTGGTCTTCCATTGGGCTGTCAATTCAGGATGCCAGTGTGGGGAATTCTTCTTGTTTTCTCTCTTTGGATGAGAATATGCTATAATCCTTAGTGCATTTTTCTCCTAGTCTTCAAATAGCATTAAAAACTAAGGACCAGATTGGAAATTTCTATTCTCAAAAGTATTATTCACTATAGTATATTAAAAATCATATGGATTTTTAAATACCCTGAGTACTGGGTACAGAGTACTAATGGAATTAAATATTCTGATGTTTACACCTCAAGTTATGTTAACTAGCCTCCCACAATATCCATACTGACTTAATTTTTTTAAGCATTCTAGGGCCTGAGTTTTCTTTATTTTACTTATATGTGGTGATGAGGATCAAACCCAGGGCCTCACACGTGCTAGGTGAGCACACTACCACTGAGCCACAACCCTAGCCCTTACTTAATTTTTTAAAGGAAGAAAAACAGTCTTTATTTTATARTTGATGCTAGATTCAAGGAAGTATTTTGGATTTTCCAGAGAATTACAGTGACAATGTCAAAGCAAGCAAATTGAGGATATTGGTTTACTCTGTCACAGCAGTTAGGAGCCTATGAGATTTATACTCTTCCTACCTGTATGCTTTCCATTATTCTCTCTTCCCCAGTCACTCTCATTGCTGATTGCTCTGTCTTGCCTGATTCCTCTATATACTTTTTGCTCATTTTCCATTTGTATATTCTATCATTTATTGAAAAGTCATTAGCATTATAAGTATATCATTACTTGGACTTAAACACTGGTGCCTACATTCCCTAATATTTGACTTTAAGCTATGGGCTTAGTTTATATTTTTACTGTGTAGTTTTGGCTTAAGTATTCTTTTCTTGTTGTTGTTGTTAATTTTTTGTTCCTTGTCCTCCTTTGTGCTCTTTTCTGTCTTCATGATCATAAAATATCCACGGTATTACTATCAAGTTCCTGTTACTTGGATCCTTACTCTAATTTTCCCCACCACAAAGCAGAATTTGGTATAAAATGGGTCTTTTGGTTTTTGTTTGTGAAATAACAAAGAACTTTATTGAAGTGGTCTTAGCCACAGAACGACCGGCAGGGCSAGTGTTCTATTCCTTGAAATTTTCTTTTAACAGTGATGTTTTGACTATTTTTAAAGGTATAATGTTGACGTGATGATCTTAAGAATTCTCTTTAAAGAATGCAGAGTGAAACCAAGACCATAAGATACCTTGAAAACATAATAAAACAGCATAGCCCCTTTTACATGTTTGCCCCCTGCCAAACTAAAGTTATAGGTTGTGCCATTTGTGCCCAAGCCCCGTGACTTAATGCATGATTGTCCTCTGGCTTCTGCCAGGAGGTTGTCTCCTAGTGTGTGTTCCGAAAACAGTGTTACCTGAGGTTCCAGTGTACTGAATGTTTATGTTGTCTCTGTCATTGTTTGGCTTACAGTAAATGTGTACTTTATTGTTTATTCTTCTTATTGTAGTTCCTCCTTCTGTCCCACACTGCCAAATCCAAGGATCCCAGGATATCGGCAGTGACGTCATCCTACTTTGTAGCTCAGAGGAAGGCATTCCTCGGCCAACTTACCTGTGGGAGAAGTTAGACAATACCCTCAAGCTACCTCCAACAGCCACTCAGGGTATGTACAGAGCTGCTTTAATCATTTTATTAGTTATGGGAAATTTGGAGATTCATTAAGTAATTTTAATGGATTTTGAGAAATAACCTTCTTTATTTGAAACTGCTGACAAAGCTTTCTGGGTCATTCTCTGTTTAAACTTTAAAGTGAATACAACATTTCCTTTATCTTCTCTTTGTTCATTTGGTGGTTACCATGCATGGAAATTCTGTTCCGAGTAGAGATTTAAAATAGCTAAATGGTAGCTGCTCTGAGTTAGCTCTAAGTCCACCCTTGAGGTTTATATCTGAGAACCCACTTCCTACTTGAGGCATAGATGCCAAAGTGTGAGAAGCATCTGCATAATCACTCACGAGGAGGTTAACCCTCCTGTTTCCAGTCTAAAGTTTCCTTAGAGAGGAAGATAAGAAAGAGAATAGGGAAAGGCCTCCCAACCKATGAGATTGATGAAYCAATCACACCAGATAGGTGCAGGTGGAGAAGWCACGAGTGTTATAAATGGTTTTTTATATGTAAACTCAGCTATTTAAATCTGGATTTAAAGGAAATATGCTTGAAAACTTGAAGAAATTTTATGAAATAAAACGAGGGAATATTATATGTAAAATCTTCTATTTGAAGACAGTAAAATGTAGTAGCCTTAGGTTTTRTATTATCTCTTATACCTAAAATGTTCCTTGTAGCTTTCTCAGGGATGATTTATGAATCTCTCTCTTTTTTTGTACCCTTTTTGTACCAGGGAATAAACCCAGGAGTACTTAACCACTGAGCCACATCCCCAGCCATTTTATATTTTACTAGAGATAGAGTCTCTCTGAATTACTTAGGGCCTCACTAAGTTGCTGAGGCTGGCTTTGCACTCATGATCTGCCTGCCTCATTTATAAAATTTCTAATTAGTTACACATTACAGTAGAATGTGTAACTAATTAATAATAATCAGCCTCCCAAATCGCTGGGATTACAGGAGTGCACCACCATGCCTGACATGAATTGGCCATTAATGGAGAGGCCTAATACATCCTTAATTGTGCCAAGTTTGAATCCTATCGACGATGGTCCTTGCCTGCCCTGGAAAAGGAAACTCCTAAGCTGTTTGGTGAATTTAGACACATTAAAGAAGCAGTTCCACCAGCCTCTGAGGTGCCTGCAAGGGTCACAACACAATAGTAATGGCCCTTATCATCATCTTTTAATTTACCTAGTCCAAAATTAATTAAAAAAACTTTTTAACATAGTAACTTTTGGGTTACCTTGATAATAAGTACTGTAATTGATTGTTCATTGCTGAATGTGTCAGCCATATTGTGGGCTAAATAATTTAGCACTTTTTGTGGACTGACTTGTTATTCTCACCATTGTAAGTGGTATGCTTAAAATAGCTCTTGTCTTGAAACGCTAAAAACTATCTTCAAATTCCAGATTTTCCAACAGTTATTTCTGTAACAGTTCACCTCTTTGATCCTGTGATACATTTTTCCTGTAAAATAAAGTGGTTACACAGGGAAAGGTCCACACAGATATGGTCATCTGATCCTTGAAAAAGATGGCAAAAACATAAATTGGGGAAGAGACAGCCTTTTTAACAAATGGTGCTGGGACAACTGGTGATCTATATGTCGAAGAAGGAAAGTAGGCCCTATCTCTCACCTTGCACCAAAATCAACTCAAAATGGATCAAAGACTATGGAATTAGGACAGAAACTACACAACTCCTAGAAGGAAAATGTAGGGTCAACACTCTAGCTTTTAGGCACATGTAGCAACTTTCTCGATAGAAGCCCTAGAGCTCCAGAGATAATGCCAAGAGTTAATAAACGGGATGGCGTCAAATTAAAAAGCTTCTGCAAAGCAAAGGAAATAATTAGGAATGTGAAGAGAGAACGCACAGACTGGGAGAAAAATCTTTGCTAGATACTTTTCTGACAGAAGAGTAGGATCTAGAATATATAATCTCAAAAAACTTTATACCAAAAAAAATCAAATAACTCAGTTAATAAGTGGGMAAATGAATTAAACAGATGCTTCTTAAAAGAAGAAATACAAATTGCTAACAAATACATGAAAAAATGCTCAGCATCATTAGCAATTAGGAAAATGAAAAGCAAAAGTACACTGAGATTTTATGTCACACCAATCAGAATGGCAGTTATTAAGAATACACACAATAATGCTGGAGAGGATGTGGAGAAAAAGGAACACTTTCACAGTGTTGGTAGGAATTGGTACAACTGCTATGGAAATCAGAATGGAGGCTCCGCAAAAGACTAGGAATAGAATCACACCACTTTTACTCCTGAAAATTAAAGTCTTCATTATGTCATTTTCAGGAAAATGGATGGAAGTAGAGACCATCATTTTTTTTGCCCATTTGTAAAATTTCTAATTAGTTATATATTACAGTAGAATGCATTTTGACATATCATACATAAATGGAGTATAACTTCTCACTCTTCTGGTTGTACATGATGTAGAATTATACCAGTGGTGTAATCACACCCCATACCCCTTCCTCTCCCTTCACTCCCCACTGATTAATCCAAAGTACCTCTATTCTTCCCTAGCTGAGACCCCMCCTTTATTGTGAATTAGCATCCACGAATTAGAGAAAACATTCAGCTTTTGGTTCTTTTTTGGCTCTTTGGGATCAGCTTATTTCATTTAGCATAATATTCTCCAGCTCCACTTAGCATAACATTTACCAGCAAAGGCCATAATTTCATTCTACGTTAAGGCTGAGTATTATTTCATTGTGTGTATATATATACCACATTTTCTTTATCCATTCATCCATTGAAGGGCACCTAGTTTAGCTATTTTTAATTGAGCTGCTATAAACATTGATATGGCTGTATCACTTGAGTATGCTGATTTTAAGTCCTTTTGGTATGGACAGAGAAGTAGGATAATTGAGTCAAATGGTGGTTCCATTCCATTCTGAGGAATAAAGACTGTCATGTTAAGCAAAATAGTTCAAAGTCAGAAGGTTAAGGATTGAATGTTTTCTTTTATGCGTTGAAGCTAGAGAAGAAAAAAGGAAAGAAAAGGTGGGGATAGATCTAAAAAGGCAAAGGGAGATGGGTAAAGAAAAAGGACTAAGGGGTGGAAGACAGGGATGGAGGGGGGAAGTGCTTGGGAGAGTGATATTGGCCAAATTGTATTGTTATATTGTGTGCATGTGCGAATATRTAACAACATATCCCATCAATATGTATGACTAGAATGCATCAATTTAAAAAATGTGGAAATCAAGCAGAAAGGGGAAAAATAAACACAACAGGGTTAATAATATCTTCCTCAAAGTCCTCTGTAGTATCATTAAGATTCCATGATTGATATTTATTACATTTCTTTGGAATAGCAGATAAAGTTTAGAATTACAAATGAGCATTTGACAATGACTATTTGTATTTAAACTGAGAAATACCTGTAGAGCAAACCTTCMGTACATCTTTGTTTTTGGATATGATATCTGTCAAATTTCTTAGTATCCACTTTACAACTTGAATATTCTTTGGTTCTTTAGGTATGAATGTGAATTTGAAAGCCAAAGAAGAAAACCTTTGTCTTTTGTATTCAAACTCTGGATTAATTATCAGAATTACTTTGTATAACTTTAACTATCATAATAACATGTTAAATGAGTTAGATTTTTAATTTAAATTCACCTTTTCATATCCTTGCTTATAAACTAGATCTCAAAATTACATATAATCTCAAAATAACTTAGACTTTTTTGTATAGGAGATTGTTTTCACTAATTATGTTTATAATTGTTTGATAAAAACTGGTGCATTCTCTGAGAAAAGAATATTTGACACCAGGGGAGAGCATCCCAAGAGTCTAATGTTTTGTTATCAATAGAATGATATTTTGGAATTAGAAATGCTGAATGGTCCCTGTGTGTAAATGCTATCTTGATGGAGCTCCCTTTGGCAAAATCTGGGAGAATTTGAACATTAAAATAAATGTATAGCCCATAGAGGAGGAAGAACCAATAAACACATGTAAGTTGGGGTAAAGGGAAAGCATTATCCTTCAGCAGAATGCTGACTAATGCATACAGAAGGAATGTGGAGTTACGAAACCATGATTAATAGCATAATGACGAACAAAGGTTTGACAAGGAATAGGCTTAATTTACATAATTCCCAAGTACGTCCCCACAAATTACTTATTAGTTACAAAGAATATAGTTAGTTTATAATGGGGAGACAACCTGGTAATAACACTGATGTGACCAGAGTAAACATCACCAGTATTGTGATAAACTGATAATCACATGCTTACTAATTTATGTACTGAGGAGGATGCAAAATCATTTCTGTGGCTTTCCTGTCAAAAACACATAACCTGAATCCAATAACAAGGAAACACCAGACCAAAAAAATGTAAAGACAAAATTGTTCCAGATTGAAAAAGACTGGTATGGTTTTGATATAGATTGAGTGTGTTTCTAAAAGGTTCATGTGTTGGAGGTTGGTCCTCAGTGTGGTGGTGGGACCTTTAAGAAGTAGGGTCTAGCAAGGATTTAGGTAGCTCTTGTGTGACCCCTGAACTCTTGTGTGAGTGAGTTGTAGAAGCAAACCTGACCCCTGACTTGCTCTCTGACTTTTTTCTAGTGATGTGATCTCTTGCTACCACATGAGCTCCTTCCATTGGGACCTCACTAGAGGCCAGTTTAATGTTGTTGTGTCCAACTACAACTAAAAAATAAATTAAAAAAAAAATCACACAGTAAACCAGGAACGTATTTGTAATCCTAGTTGTTTGGAAGAATGAGACAGGAAGATCATAGGTTCAAGGCCAGCTAGGGCAACTTAGCGAGACCCTGTCTCAAAATTTAAAAAAATAATAATAAAATTAAAAAAGGCTGAACATGTAATTCAATGGTAAAGTGCCCTGGGTTGAACTGCCAATACCAGAAGAAAAAAAAAATCACACAGTGGGAGTGATGCAGACTTGTAAATTTATTCTTGCAGTTATGCCACTTTTCCTTAC